TTGAACCCAGGAGGCAGAGGTTGCAGTGAGCCAAGATTATGCCACTACACTCCAGCCTGGGTGACAGAGTGAGACTCCGTCTTAAAAAAAAAAAAAAAAAACCTTTGAAAATTTAAAGAATTTATTATGTGGGCCAGGCGCGGTGGCTTTATGCCTGTAATCCAGCATTGTGGGAGGCCGCGGCAAGTGGATCACCTGAGGTCAGGAGTTCAAGACCAGCCTGACTAACATGGCGAAACCCCGTCTCTACTAAAAATACAAAAATTAGCTGGGAGTGATGATGCATGCCTGTAATCCCGGGTACTCGGGAGGCTGAGGCAGGAGAATTGCTTGAACCCAGGAGGCAGAGGTCGTGGTGAGCCGAGATCGTGCCATCGTACTCCAGCCTGAGTGACAACAGAGCAAGATTCCATCTCCAAAAAAAAAAGAAAAAGAATTTAAGATATTTTACATATATAAAAGAAAATTGCCTATGAAATTTGAGGTAACTTTTTTTTTTCTTTTTTTTGAGATGGAGTTTTGCACTTGTTGCCCAGGCTGGAGTGCAATGAAGCGATCTTGGCTCACCACAGTCTCCGCCTTCCGGGTCCAAGCAATTCTCCTGCCTCAGCCTCCCGAGTAGCTGGGATTACAGGCGTGCACCACCACATCTTGCTAATTTTGTATTTTTAGTAAAGACGGGGTTTCACCATGTTCCTAAGGCTGGTTTCAAACTCCTAACCTCAAGTGAGCCACCCACCTCAGCCTCCCAAAGTGCTAGAATTACAGGGGTGAGCCACTGTGGTGGCCTATTGCATTCTTTTTTTGAAACAAGGGTTAAGATCAGAAGTTAACGGCCAGGCATGGTAAATCACAACTGTAATCCCAGCACTTTGGGAGACTGAGGCAGGTGGATCACCTGAAGTCAGGTGTTTGAGACCAGCCTGGCCAACATGGTGAAACCCCTTCTCTACTGAAAATAAGTGATAACTATTTCATCATCTTCTTTATATTTAAATATGAATAATTCTGATTTACCTAAGCAAGGCCCAAACTTGTAGAGGTAACATTCATTTAATTTTTTGTTGTTATTTAATTGTGACTCCATATTTTCTATATTTAAAACCTTTACTCTTTTACTTAATTTCTCAGGGAGCACTCAACATCAGTGATAGAACCATACCTCAACCCCCCATTCTTCAGCTTTCAGTGGAGAAGCTTAGCAGAGATGGAGCTTTCCTCATGGATGCAGGCTCTGTAAGTAGTTTGACTTATCCTGACCCTCACTGCAGACTACTATACTGTTTTAATTTAGCATTTGGTTTCATTCCCTTTAATATCCTTCCTGAACAGATTTCATATTTTAACCTATATACAGTCATACACTGATTAATGATGTGTAAGTCACAGCTTATATGATGGTGATCCCATAAGATTTATAATGGAGCTGAAGAATTCCTATCATTTAGTATTTACTATACTATATTTTTTTATTATTGCTTTGGAATGTACTCCTACTTAACTTTTTAAAAAGTTAACCTCAGGCAGGTCCTTGAGGAGATATTCTAAAAGAAGATCTTGTTATCATAGGAGATGACAGCTCTATGCATGTTATTGCCCCTGAAGACCTTCCAATGTGACAAGGTGTGGAGGTGGAAGACAGCGAGATTGATGATCTTGACGCTGTATAGGCCTAGGCTAATGTGTGTTTGTGTTTCAGTATTTAACAAAACAATTTAAAAAGTAAAAAATTTAAAAAATTTTAAACATAGGGCCGGGCATGGTGGCTCACACCTATAATCCCAGCACTTTGGGAGGCCGAGGCGGGCAGATCATTTGAGATCAGGAGTTCAAGACCAGCCTGACCAACATGGTGAAAATCTCTAC